TAAACACGAAAAATCGTGTTATATTTTTTAATTACAAAATTTAAATAATTGTTTTAAGATGCATATAAATATTATAAATACTACACACTTTTATAGGGGTTATATTACACGCGCGCGGAGGGGAGTAATGATATAAATGATGCAGAATAATAATATAAAAAACTGAAATATGTAAAAGAGCCCCCAAAATGAGTGTCGAGGTTTGGGGGAGGAAACCAGAGGAAAACGTGCTACAAGTTCTTTTAATCAATTTTAGCTCAGCTTTTGAATGAGGATGATTTGGTAGCGAAAGGTGACAAAGGCGGTGGCAACAATGATGGCAACGACGGCGGTGGAAGGCGTGTCAACGATGGAGTCGGCAAAAAGGTTGTGGTGGCGGTGGTAATGGCCAACAATTTCATTCCACAGAATGAATTTTCATTCCACTGGTTTAGAAGTAGAATAGATTTTTATTCCGTTGAAATGGATTTAATTTCTAAGAGAATGATCATTCTCACTTTAAATGTCATACCAAGTAAGAGAATGGTTGGAATGGAATGCCCATTCCATACCATTCATGCGTACCAAACTCTAGGCCTTATAATTTCTACTTTATTACACAAGTAGTAACATAATTAGGGGTGCAACTTGGGTTTGGCAATCCAAACCCAACCCGAGTGATTTTTGGTGAACTTGGCCAAATATTTTTTAAATTAGGATTGAACTTGGGTTGAAAAATCTCAACCCGAACTTAATTAAAGATGGATTTGGGTTGAAAAATCTCAACCCAAATTTAATTAAGGTTGGGCTTGAGTTTAGGTGTGTGCAACCCGAACCAACCTAAACCAACCCAAATTCAAATATTATCTTCATATATACAATATTCACATTATGCCCGCACCGGTTAGCTCCAATGGTTCAAGAATGATCTCTACACATAAGAGGGCCTCTCTCTGAGACAGCAAGTCCAAACTTCATCGATAAGTGTAACTTGCGAGCAATTGCACATATTTAGGGGTTTACATGTCAGCCACAAGTCCAAAGCCCCGTGGTTGTGAGGATTTTTTTTAAAAAAAAAATACTATAAAATATAAATTAAGAGGAGGTGCATTTCCATATACCAAAAAAATCCAACTGATACTTGAGAGAGAGATTGATAATCAGAGCATAAACCATCCACTACAATGTAATCAAATGGGTGCAACTATGTCACAGAAAAACCACACCCAAATGACTTCTCAATCAAGTTCAAGCATAAACACCATCATTGACAGATTGATTACTTTTAAGACCAAATTTAGAAGTTAAAGTCTAACCTAGCAAATAACTGAACTAAATGCAACAACAATAATTCATAAATGAAAGAAACAAATACAATATTCCTCAAGAACACCATCCGTGCTGCTACCCAAATAAAAAACAACCATAAATCAATCCAACTGAACTACTGACAACATCAATGGCACATAAATGCTGCTACCCAAAGAAAAAATAACCGTTGACTGACAAACATTGATTCATGAAGCCATCCACAAGCAGTTGGGATAGAAAGATTTAATGAACTGGTGTACATATCTGATGCATTGAGCACAATAAATAACAAGTACCAAATGCAAACAACATAAAAGGAACTATTTGTATATGTTAAATAAAAGGTATTGCTATATATATATATACACACATACATATATATGTATATGTATATGAATATTTTTTTCCCAGTATCGTATAGCAAGAGTAAATTTTTTTTTTGGATCAAAATGGCTTGCATTTTCTTCTCAATATAAGATACAGCAATGATGCTGCATTGATCTCTTCAAATTGCTATTACCCTAATCCCTTTAAATTCCTGAAAGTTATAGGTGTTTACAGGTAAAGGTTACTGAGATTGTGGGGATCCACTGTATACGCTATCTAAGAAGCTACAACTTATTAAAATTCAGATTAAGGAATGGAATTCTAAAGTTTTCAGGCATATTAATGTTCAACTTGCTGAGTCCAGAAGTAAGTCGGACACAATTCAAATGGCTTTGATGCAAAGACCCTGAAAATGTTGATCTTACAGAAAAGCAGAAAACTTGGCCAGAATGAAGCTGGGTACTGTTTTGAATAATGAGGAGACAATTGCTGCTCAGGAAGCTAGAGTGAGTTGGTTAAGAGGTAATTACATGAGAACGGAGTTTTTCTACCAAAAGAATAGCTCAGCACAGAGCTATTAATGCAATCTCTACACTTTGGAAGGGGAATGGGGATGGACTACTGATATGAAGACAATCAGTAAGTGGTTTGTTCAATATTTTCAAAATTTGTTTAGGATAATAATCAGGGTCAGACTTCTCAACCCTTGAATGCTTCTCAAAGTCCCAGAAAGTGATCGTCTCAAGATGATCTCCACTACTTGGAAGAATCGGTCACAGCTGAAGAAATTAAAGCTTCCTAATTTCATCTTGGTCCAGCAGGACTTTCATCGAAGGCAAAAAAATCCAAGATAAAGTGATCCTTATCAATGAACTAGTGAGGGGTTTTAGTTCTAAAAGAAATTGGCCAACTATGTTAATCAAAATTGACTAAAAAAAGGCATACGACACTGTCTCTTGGCCTTGTTTGTTTGCTGTTATGCAGTCTTTTGGATTCAGCAGTAGATGGATTGGTTGGGTTTAAGGAATATCTCATTACATCCTGGCATTCTGTTTTGATTAAAGGATCTCCAGCTGGTTCACTTTTCAACCAAAGAAGGGCAAGCAAGGATGTCCTCTTTCTCCTCTGTTATTCCCTCTCACAATGGAATTCTTTTCTGCTATGATGCATAAAGAAGTTAGCAATGGCAGATTTGATTGTTTTCAAGCTGTGTTGAAAGCAGAACTTCAATTTTCCACCCGTTTTTTATGCTGATGATTTGTTTTTCATAGCCAAAGCTAATCTTAGATATGCAAGAGTTATCTCCAACATTCTAACCCAATTCCAGTGGTTCTCTGGCCTAGCTGTTAATCTGGAGTCTGGAACAGGGTCAAATATTCTTTTCCTAACCTGCTAGAAGACACAGAAGTATTGCAGATATGCTGGGAATGAAGAATGGTAAGCTTCCTATCACTTATTTGGGCCCTTCATACAGTGGACAAAGGGTTGAAGCAAGTTGACTGTAAATCTCTCATATTTATAAAATCACTACTAAAATTATTGGTTGGGTGTCTTTAAATCTTTCCCTAGCTGGCAGGACTGAATTAGTCAAACTGTGTTGCAATCTTACCTTTACTACTGGTGCTCAGTGTTCAAACTTCCTAAATCCACTACTAATGCCACTGATGTTCAAAAAATTTATTTGGGGCAGCAGGAATGGAACAAAAAAATTACATTTGCTTAGATGGAATCAGATCGCCAGAACTAAGGCTGAAGGGGATTTTGCATTAGAAGTTTTGTGGACATTGATAGGGCTGCTAAATGCTCTTGGCTGTGGGATGTAATTCAGAGAAATGATAGAAGTTGGATTATTTGGTGTGTGGCTACTTATGACATCCAACCCTCTATCTGGAGCTGTAAAGCAAAATCTACATCATCTTAGGTTTGGAAAAATCTTCTAGACATTAGAGAAATATTGGATGCAAATGGAGTTCCGAAGTTGGTGATGGGAGAACTTTGAAATTATTCCTGGATCCATGGTGCAGTAGGGATACTTTGATTCTAAACAATTGTTAGACAGTTAGACTTGAGGAAAACATCGACTATTGGTTAATTGATAGAAAATGGAACATGGAAAAGACCTAACTTCATCAAAGAGGAGGCAAATGAAGTGTGGAACTAAATCTCTTCAATTAACATTCATGGAGGTTCTGATTCTATTTTCTGGAAACATGGTGCTGCTCCTTCAAAGCCTTCTGGAATGCTTGCGGAGTACACTATCCTAAGAAGAACTGGATTGAGGTTGGATTGCTAGACCTGCTACTTGTTATACCACTTGTTTAGCCATCCAGACAAGCTCCCATCTCTACCCAACATTCAAAAAACAGGTTTGACTGTAGTTTCTATCAGTCAAAATTGTTTGAAAGGTGCTGATTCTATGGAGGACTTATTCTTTCAGTGTGACTTTGGCAGAAATATCTGGTTTTGGTTTGCTGATTTGTTCAGATGGAGTTTGGGCAGTATAATATATTTTCAACATCTAGTTGAGTGGTTTGGTCTCCATTTCTCCAAGAAATCTAGGAGGAATAAAATATGTCAGCGGGTGTTTGTGCTGACTATTTGGAGGTTGTGGCTGAACAGAAATCAAGTTTTGCATGATTGAAGTTCTCTTCATAACTATCAAATTGCTATTTCTATTTTGTGGGAAATGTCTGACTCTATGGGACTGCCCCAGCAGGACTTTCTTGAGCAGATAGGGATTAGTATTTGAGTTTGAGCAGTTTGATCCTCATTATGGCATGGCATAGTTGAGGATATTGAGATTTGGTGGTATGATTTGTATTGTTAGGTATTTGTTTCTTTGTATTCTGTTTTTGTTTTTGAGAACTGGATTCTGGAAGTGGTTTTTATTCTTTCTTTTGTTTGTATTGTTGTTCATAGAGCTTGCCCTCTTTGTTGTAATTTTGTTATGTTTGTTGGTATAAATTTTATACCAAGTATAAAATTGACTTTACTAAGGGGAAAAAACAAGATGCTACACCGAGGATCCTCAAAAGGTTATTACCCTACAAAATTATAACAAGTAAAACCATTTCTCAATGCATATACGAAAATACAACCAACAACAATAAATAAATAAACAAATATATATATATATAAGCCAAAATCATGTAAAGGAACAAGTAGTGAGTTATGGTGCACAATAAAAAGTGACATTGCAAAAAATGGCCATCTCACAGTGCACTCATACATCAAATAGAACTAAGAAGTAAATTGATACTCAAATTCAACAAGCTAAACACATACAAGATGCAAGCATGAAAAATTCACCACAATGTGAATGGGTAAAGGGGCCATCTTGCCAATGGTAATACTCCAATAGTAAGAATAACAGACGGAGAAAGTTAGTCGAGGTGGAACATACAGAAATTCATTCTCCGATTGAAAAATTGCAGATAAACATAAAATCAAGATTACCTTAATTTTTATGAATAACCTCAGGTTGTTGATCTGTTCCTTTATCCATATATTGTTTTTATTTCTACATCTCAGGAAGTCACACTAGACCGAAGTAGAAAAAAAGGTAATGAGAAATAAGATACTGGTTGTGGAACCATGAAAAGCGTACCGTTGCTCTTATGAAAAGTGTAAATGACATAATCAAGAAGAACCAACCATCCCAATTGATTGGTTTCTTTTGGATAGAGGTTCAAGTGATAGATATCACCGCCACATCAAGTCACCTAGAGAAGTAGCTTTTCTGGAAGTAGTGAAAGTGAAATTGCAAGCATTTCAAAATGCGAAATGAAGTTGTAAATAAAGCATGTTAATTCAACTTAATATAAAGCCTCCCTGTCAACTTGTTATTCAAGAAAAAATCACAAATAAAAAAGCTTTTCATGAGTGCAAAACATAAACATAACCATAAGAAAAAAATAAAGAATCATTTCGGAAGTAGCTGCTCATAGAACCCAGACACAGTTCTTTTTCCAAATTCCCTGAAGCAGCATAGACCAGAAGAAAAATAAAAAAGAGAGAGAGAGATGCGAAACAACACTAGGTTCAAAAAAAAAAAATTTGATGTGTATAACCAAAAATGTGAATAGGCTAAAGGGCCAGCTTGCCAATGGTAGTACTCCAATAGTAAAAAATAAATAGATCAAGAAAGTTAGTCATGGTGGAACATACAGAAATTCATTCTGTGATTGAAAAATTGCAGATAAGCATTAAAATAAAAATTACCTTAAGTTTTATGAATATCCTTAGGTTGTTGATCTGTGCTTTTTTCCATATATTGTTTTTATTTCTACATCGCAGGGAGTCACATTAGACTGAAGTCTGGGATAAGAAAACTATGGAGTGCAAGGAGAAGGAAGACGCTGGTTATGAAAGGTGTAATCACACAATCAAGAAGAACCAATCATCGCAATTGATTGGTTTCTTTTGGATAGAGGTTCAAGTGATAGATATCACCGCCACATCAAGTCACCAAGAGAAGTAGCTTTTCTGGAAGTAGTGAAAGTGAAATTGCGAGCATTTCAAAATGCAAAATGAAGTTGTAACGGTACACTTAACTGTATAAAATAAAGCATGGTAATTCAACTTAACATAAAGCCTCCCTGTCAACTTGTCATTCAAGAAAAAATCACTAATACAAAAGCTTTTCATGAGTGCAAAACATAAACATAACCATAAGAAAAAAATAAAGAATAATTTCGGAAGTACCTGCTCAAAGAACCCAGACACCAGTTTTTTTTCCAAATTCCCTGAAGCAGCATAGACCAGAAAAAAAATAAATAAATAAAATAAATAAATAAATAAAAATAAGAAGAAGAAAAGAAGAGAGATGCAAAACAACACTAGGTTCAAAAAAAAAGAGATGATGTGTATTATAATCTTAGTTCAAAACAACCTCCATCCCTGAAATATCATTCAGATTACATGTGTTACCAGAGAAAAGGTCTGATCTAAGATCATTAACCTTCAATCATGACACAGAGTAAGCTACATATCCAAAAGTCAAATATATAAACTTAATATTCAAGTTAACTTATCAAAAAATATATATATTCAAGTAAAAAGGTCCATAATGCCAGCAGAAAAGCAAACAGACAACAAGAGGGAGAAAGTGACAGATACAAGACCAGCAACATCTACACTGTGAAGAAATCTAAAATTGAGCCCAAATCCGCATTGATTCCCTGGACTTTGCAGGGCCTTGATTGATTGATAGGCCAACAGATATCTCCGCTGCAAGTTCGTTCTTTGACAATTTGAAACACTACAAAGTAAACTTCAGAAGCCTCGTGAGGGTCCTCATCATCTTGTTCAGTATACTTGATTTCTGGAGTCTCCCGAAAAACTGAACAGAAGTTATCATTTCCTAAATAAAAGAAACCAGCCTGCGGCACAAATAAGCCTGATAAAGAATCCCTTTTCAATAGGTATGAATCTGTCAATTTGAGTGAAGCACGAGATATAAATGCATCTCCAAGGCTATCAGGGATATGATATGCACAAAAGGTACAGACCCCCTTTTTACTTGGTGAAAAGCCATATAAGGTATCATTGAGAACGAGGCCACATCCAGTCAGGGGATTATCCACCAACGAACATGCAAAGGCATCGTCACAAGTCTGTGCCTGTGTCTTTGCAATGGTTTTGGCATCGAAGAACTTCCATTTATGAGTTTTCAAATCAAAAGTAGAAATGATGTCACCCCAGTTGAAGAAGATCTTGTCATGGATGACGGCATGCCCAGAACAATAAGCGGGAAGAATATGATTTGGAGAAGAATATGAAGTGGGCAGAGGAAGTATGGTCCATTCATCCATCATGGGATCATAGACTTCGAATGCACAACTTTCCCATTCATGACCATAAAAAGAAATCAAAGTCCAGTCAGTGACATTAAAATCAGGAGGGGAACCCAAAGTTCTGGTATTTAAATCCCCACTAATGATGCCAGATAAGACATAATTTACCATTCGCAGTCATAACAACCGGATTACACTTACCCCCATTCATATTGGGGCATTCTGATAATTCATCACAATGGATTAGACTACCACTACTACTAGTAGTAGAGGTCAGTTTATTTCTAAAGGTGTTGAAATCCAAGTAATAAACCTTCTTAGAGGCATAATATCCATCCTCCAACCGGCGGCACTGACCTCCAACAAAGTAAATTCGAGAACCCAATTCAACGCAGGCCATCCCGATAGGGAATTTTTCATGACGGGGCATCTCTAGTATTGTCGCGGCAGGAGAAGGTGGTGGTGGATTAGGAACATTGATAAAATCGCTTGCCGCAATAACATAGGCATACAAAGAATAAAGAAGAGGACCATCCTTGAATTTAAAAAACACGCAAAGAAACTTTTTTCTCTCCACTGACTTCAATACTGACAACTCTGATAGTCCCTCTAACGTCCCTGTCTCAACCTTCTTCAACCTCTTCACCTCTATTCTTCCCATGTTTAACAACAAATCCTACACCTTCCGCTTCTTCTCCTCTCTTATTTCCAATTCCGATTCCAATTCCAATTTCCGGGGTGATTCGGTTAATAAATTATCACTAGTTCAACAGAAATATATACATAAAGAAAAAAGCAACAACAGTATTATTTATATAAAATTTACTCACAAGTTGAAGAAATAAGGGACAAAATTCAGGTTAGCAAACCAAAACGAAACAATGAAATTAGGGTTTCTTTTTTTGTTAGACAAACCTTTTCTCCGAATTGCTCTTCATCATTCGTCCTCCTCTATCCGCCCACCAAAAATTAGCTACTCCGGAAAATCACAGACGCGAGTGATCGACCGAGCGAGCGATCCAGAAAGAAAATCGATGAATTCTACGACTTGACTTGCAGACACACGCACATATATATACCCGCCTATATATAAACTCAACACCCCTCTGTAAAGTTCCCTTTAGCGTGGATATGCAACTTAGAAGGGCCGTTGGATGATATCCAATGGTTGATAATAATCTAAGGAAACAAGTATGCGAGAATCAGAACTGAAATTGGCTTCTGTTTTTCAGATTTTAAATCTGCTTAATTAAGAAAATTTATATTATATTTTTAAAGTAAAAATTCATAAAACAGCTTACTTGCATTTATTAAAAATAATTTTTTAAACTAAGAAAATAAATAAAAATATTATTGTACCTCACTTTTTTATTTCTTTAATTTTTTATATTAACTATTAATGTAATTTTTATATTTTTTCTAAATAAGTGTTGGAAGTGAATTCATTGTTGTTAGTATTCTTAACTTAATAAAAGTTGCACAAATACAATATATCAAGTTTAATTAAAATTTGACTAAATTTAAATATAATAAAAGAGTTACATGAATTACTTCAAGTGTCATATGCACTTTTAGTTGTATATAAACATTAAGTTTAATGATACATAACCAAAATAAAATATTAGAGAATCACAAAAATAGTTAATCAAGACAAAATAAAAGTAATTTCATCTAGCATTGCCTTCGAATAATGTCCACATTTGATTCGTCAAATGAGTTCTAAAGGCTCCCATTTGTGCTGCACCATCATCAAATAAATTAAATACATTCAATAATGCTGCACCACTAGCATTACTATTGCTACCATTCCCACCATCAATTACATTAACATCTTCTTCCCCATACTCCATAAAAAAGCGATCATTTAATATATTTTTATGAATGAAATTGTGAATCGTGCAACAAGTATTTATTATGAGTCATTGTCGATCTAACCAACTTATAACATGGCATAGTGTCACGGGCTTAGAGTTTCAGCACCACTCTAGCTACTCCCGTGCGGCACTAAGACGTTACTTTTACTCCTACAAGTACTTGGTCAGCCTAACTCTCGTACCCACCTTAGCCAACACATTCCCCTCGTGCGCTTACTAGTGTTGTAGTGGCCTTCGTCTTCTCCTCACTTGGCTTGCACATTCACACACACTAAGGCACTTAAGTTGACAAGAAAAGAACACTTCTATTACTTCAAAGAATGCTTTGTACAAGGCTAACTCTTAAACTCTCTACAAGGCTCTCAAGACTTACTCTATGACTTGTTGCCTACAAAATGAAGTCATACTCCTATTTATAGGCATCCCCATCCTTAATGGATGGCTAGGATGCATTCTAACCGATGGTGGAGATTGATTCTCTAGAATTTTCTCCCACCTTTTTCACACTTCTATACTTATCCACAAGTATCTACAACATTCTAGAACTCTCCATACTATTCTACACAATTTTGGAGAACTCTAGAACCTTCCACACACTTATACAATATTCTACACATATCTACACACATCTAGAATATTTCGTACAACTCTAGATTACTCCGGAAGACTCTAGAAACTCCATTCGCCATGCAGTTACCATGTAGCGTCCTCCTCAGCATATGCGTGTCGCTTGCGTGGCACAACCTCCATAGGCGGGGCGTGACATTCTCCCCCACCCATTTCCGTGACGCCCTCGTCACGGTTTCTTCAGTTGACCCAGCCTCTTGCAGGTCATTAGCACTTGCGCATATGTCCTTGACCCAAACGTACGAGCGCCCTTCAGGAGATGTGAGGTCCTCATAAGCTCCATCGTGTTGACTGCCACCTCTGGACTCTCTTTCCTGCCTACGAGTGGCACCATGCAAGCAGCCTTGCCTTCCTCGCCTCCAAGTATCATCAACGCACCAAGGCATGGTAGTAGGGCGGCGTTGTTCCTGTCCATGAACTCCAGCCCCAACACCATGTCATGGTCGTCCATCTCCGCAACATGGAAGTCGGCCTTGCCATTCTACCCTTGCATGCATAGCTCCACCTCCTTGCACACTCTACTTACGCGTGCCTCCTCGGAGTTGACGGCCTTAATCCAGCCCTCTGTTTTGCACATCTCCAAGCCAAGTCGTTGCGCCTCCTCCGGGGTAATGAAGTTATATGTGGCGCCCATGTCCACCAATGCTTGCACGACTTTGCCACCAACCTGCGCATCCACATAGCGCACCCCAGCTACCTTTTTTGCCTTGCCCTTCCTTTTGGTGTCATGTGCTATGCTACTCAGCATCTGCATAGCCCCCATGCACCTGTCTTCATTGCTGTCCGCATCGTCCACCTTGCCCTTACCCTTATCCTTCACAAGGGCGCTCATGGTCTTCTTATTGGGGTAGTGTCGTAATATGTGCGGCCCATCGCACAAGTAAAACTTCAGCTCCCCCTTGCCCTTGTCACGGCGTTCCCCTTTGCCACTGGCCTTGGACCTCTCTCCATAGTCCTTGCCCTTGTCATGGCGTGGGCGTCTCTCCTCATCGTTGTGCTCATCATCACTGGACTTGGGTGAGCTCCCTTTCTTGAAGCGCCGGTCTCCCCCACCTTTGCCGTGGTCTCTCCTGGGAGCGTGGCCCTCTTGTCATCTCGCCTAAAGTCTTCAAGGCACTCCGCTATAGCCATTGCGGATGCCAAGTCTCTAGGCTCCCTCCTCCTCAGCTTCGTGGCCACCCAAGACTGCAGCCCATCTATGAACAAGCATACGTGTTGCCGCTCCCGCATCTCTAGGATCTCTAGCATCAAGTTGGAGTACTCCTTTACATACTCCCTTATGCTGCCCTTCTGCTTCAGGCACCTTCGGTTGATCATGGCGAGGTCCTCGACACACTCAAGGTAGAACTGCCTCTTGAGCTGCCTCTTGAACTCCTCACATGTGTCAACCGCTCTTGCGCCCCTACCGGTGAAGCGCTGCCTTCACCATAGAGCGGCGGTGTCTATGAGGTACATGGTGCCTGTCTGCACCTTCTCCTCATCATCCTCGATCTCCATGCACTCGAAGTACCGCTCCATGTGCCAGAAGAAGTTGTCAATCTGGCACGCATTCCTTGCCCCATCATACTCCTTGGGCTCTGGCGCCTTCTTCTTCCTTGGCTTCACCATGACCTCGCGCGCCTGGGAGAACTCCTTCTTGCACTCGGCAATCTCCACGAGCAAGTCGTCTACCCGATCATGCAAGTCCCTTTCCTTCTCTTTCGCTTTGTTGGCGATGCCGTCAATCAGCTCATAGAGCTTCGCCATCCTTCTCTCGAGCCTATTAAACTTGGTTTCCGTGTAGACCAAGTGTGTGGCAAGCTTCTCCTCCAAGCTCTGCTCCAAGACGTGGACTTGGCGGTCTTCTCCTCCGCTCGCCATGTCTACTCCAACAAAGCTCCCTTGACGAACCTGCTCTGATACCAACTGTCACGGGCTTAGAGTTTTAGCACCACTCTAGCTACTCCCGTGCGGCACCAAGACGTTGCTTCTACTCCCGCAAGTACTTGGTTAGCCTAACTCTCGTGCCCACCTTAGCCAACACACTCCCCTCGTGCGCTTATTAGTGTTGTAGTGGCCCTCGTCCTCTCCTCACTTGGCTTGCACACTCACACATAGTAAGGCACTTAAGTTGACAAGGAAAGAACACTTCCATTACTTCAAAGAATGCTTTGTACAAGACTAGCTCTCAAACTCTCTACAAGGCTCTCAAAACTCACTCTAGGACTTGTTGCCTACAAAATGAAGTCCTACTCCTATTTATAGGCATCCCCATCCCTAATGGACGGCTAGGATGCATTCTAACCGATGGTGGAGATTGATTCTCTAGAATTTTCTCCCATCTTCTTCATACTTCTATACTTATCCACAAGTATCTACAACATTCTAGAACTCTTCATACTACTCTACACAATTTTGGAGAACTCTAGAACCTTCCACACACTTTTACAATATTTTACACATATCTACACACATCTAGAATCTTCCACACAACTCTATATTACTCCGGAAGACTCTAGAAACTCCATTTACCATGCAGTTGCCATGCAGCGTCCTCCTCAGCATCTGCGTGTCGCCTGCATGGCACAACCTCCATAGGCAGGGCGTGACAATAGGATTTAAAATGGGAAAACGAGGCTTTAGTATTCCAAAACAACATTAAATAACATTGCGAAGTGATGAATGCCGATAGTTAACCAATTCATTTGCACTATGCGGTTGCTGACTGTTACCCTATAATCTTGTAGATGATATATTTGACCACGATATGGAAGCAGAAATCCTTTTGCGCATGGGTAACCAGAATCAACTAAATAGTATTTCCCTACAAATATTATTTAAATTTTATTAGGGTTAGTGGCATGCTATTATTAATATTAAAAAGACAAAAATAATACCATCAAATTGTATCAGGAATCGTACAGCAGCTCTAGTAATTGCATCAATAAAAACTCTTGAATCATTTACCGTACCCTCCCAACCCACATAAACAAAAGTAAATAGCACATCAAATGAGTAAGCACACATAACATTTTGTGTCACTATAGACTTTCTTCCTCTATAAGGAGTTTGTCTGTTGGCAGGTGCAAAATCACTTATATGTGTTCCATCAATTGCTCCAATGAAATTCTTAAACCAAGGATAGTATTTGGGATTATGAAGTACGTAGTATATGAGAAGGCATATCACTGCTTTATGGTGGACGTATGGGGAATTTCCCAAGGCAACATATTGCTCTCAATACGAGCTTAAAATATCTAGAAACTGTTTCACCAGAATGTTGAAATCATTTAGCTACCACTGTATGACAAATATTATGTCCTATAATGAACAAAAATATTACCACTGACTCTTCAATTGAAATTGTATGTGTGTCTTCCAACAATTTACGTTTTCTCAATATTCGACATAATTTCAGAAAAATTTCTCTATCTATTTTTAATAAATCAAAACATCGACCGGCATGGTCATTCAACAATTCCTGAACATACTCATAACCTATTAACCCTGAAGTTCTCTTTGGTACCTTCAATTTAAATGAATCTTCATCTAAATCACTATAAGATGAAAACGATGTGTCACTCCAATCTATGTTTTCCTTCTTGATTTTCCAAGAATCTAGACAAATTTTTAATAAACCTTATAAATTAAACATAGTAAAAGGTATACCAAAACAAAGTTTTCATAACATAAAACATAGTAAATTGTCCCCCACACGAATATAACATAAAGTCACATGGATAGGAAAAAAAAAAAAAAAAAAGGCATAAGGAAATTGTTCAATAACATATCAAACCAAATATGTGTTTCAAGTCACAAGCATCCAAAAACTAAACCCTGCATTCAGTAACCACCCAACTCAGTCCAAGTTCTTCAACTAAGCAAACTTCTTGGAAATACTCATCTTAATGAACAATTCTCTATGGTGCAATTCCTTAAACTTTTCGGTTGCCTTCAAATATGTGTCGTCATCTATCTCATCAAGACCTTCAAGGCATTCAATACAATTACTTAGAGAATATGAATCATGTGATGGGCTAGTTGTCTCTTGAGTATGTTTCATTTTCTTATACCTCTCCACCATAGTTAATAGAGCTTCAATCCTTGCTTTGGAAGCTTCGGTCCTTGCTTTAAAAGCCTCGACAATGCAAGCAAGAGTATCACTAATGGAATCTTTTTTAGTCTCCTTTTTTGCACGACAATTAGAGGATGTGGATTTACGATGACGAGGAATATTGTCTTCAAATAGAATATTATCTGAATCATCTTGACCCTCAATGGTTGAACTAACATGGACACATGTATTCATAAATTGATCCTCCTACTTTCATTTTTCGTTTGTATTAGGTGGATCTTGAATGGATGCATATTAAAGTTGCCCAGTAGCAGTCGACGTATTGAAAAGAATTCCCAAAAGTTTGTAATTTTCACAATCTTTTTTTGCGAAAACACTTAGCATTGGGATGAGCGTGTTAAAAAAAAAAAAAAAAAAAAAAAAAAAAAAAAAAAAAAAAAAAAAAAAGATTGTTAGGAATAACCATGTTTAAAAAGTAAATTAACTATTGTAAAATAATTAATTAAATACATGTTTTACCCGCAAATATTTTTGCCAAGTTTCTTCATCAGCAATCGCAGTGTTTGTTTCCGCATCCCAACTAAACCCAGTTGTCTCGTTTAGAAGACTTGAAAACTCATGGTGCTTTATACGTAATCGATTAAAATTTTGCTTCAGTTGTTTCACATTATAAGTGTGGTTAGTCTTTTTTGGAACTCCTGTCCAATCTTTTTCCAATACTTAGAAGTAAATATCCCAGATGACATGTACCCCTTATTAACCTCGTTGTTATAATATATTCTAACCATGTATAGGTTTACTATATAGGGTTTAGGTTCTTGCTCTCCACACATCTCGTCACCTATATAAACCCCTATGTATCTTCATATCTAACACATCAATACAATATACAGTTTCTCTCTTTTATATTTAACACTAGTCAACCATTATATCAACAAAACATTTTTCTAAATGTGTAGACCATAGAGCTGACTTCTCAACATCAGCAATTGGAGATGACATCCTTTATTTGTGCATTAGGCAAAGAATTACAAGCAATAAAGTAGATTTTCACACAACTCAAATATATATCACACTCATAAAGTATTAAATAACAAGCCAATATGATATGAGGAGAAAAACAAAATAGATGAACATCCTTTGCATCACAAAATTCTAAAAAAATAAAAAATAAAAAAATCAATCTACTATCATTTGTTTTTAACTCAATCAGATTTAAGCTGAAAATTGTATCATACAAACTTCAGGGTTTTGTGAATAGTGCGGTTCAATTCACATTCTTATCTTTTGTTAGCAATCTTGGTTGGTTTTACATTCATGTATGGTGGATCTTTAACTGAACCAATGATCATGTACTAAGTTGAGCTGCTCAATTTTACATTAGACTACTTAAAACAATTAAAAAAAAAAAAAATTGAATTTGATCGAATTCAATCAAAAAGATTATGAAGCCATGGGATCGCCCCAAAGATGAATCCTATAATCTGATAATAGGTGTAGTTAAAGCACCCATTGTTCCACTTTTTGTTATTGATTCAGTTTACATTGCCACTTGCAATGGCTATTGGTAAGAAATTTTTGGAACATTTGATATGGTTCTAATTATATCTTCGTGGTCTTTATAATTGGGAAAAAATGAACCTACTTCTAGCAAGACTTTTGTTGCTTTTGCTCTGTCCTTACATTTTCTTGACTGACCATAATCCTGATGGTATTGAGAATATAACCAATTGTCCATTTAATATTATGCTTATTTATTACTTGTAATGTTTGAACTTTATATCATCACCAATACAATGTGTTTAACTTTAATTACCTTATACAAACTAATTATGATGAGAATGAATGACAACACAGGCACCATTTCACAACTGTTCGATGTGGCGTAAGACGAGTGTTTGATCCTCATTTTGTGGACTTAGCTGGTAGTTTTTCTGGCTCTCACTGTTTGGTCAACAGTCTATATGTGGATCTTATCCTGAAGACCTTACGCTCAAAACAACAGGGCAACTGCACTGATCATCTTACCCAAAGGGTCCTCTCTCTCTCTCTCTCTATATATATATATATATATATTACATATTTAGGGAAGGAAAAGTTTCCCCACGTTAAGCGAGGGAGCCACAGAATTGGGCTTTCTTTCTAGTCCAATTTTATTTTTCTAATTATGATCTTGTTTAAGTTTGTATATTTTACATAGCTTGAATAAGGAGATAGATGATGATGGATAGTTTATTGGTTTCTTCCTTCTACAGATCATTTAATTTCGACTTTGGAAGACCCTTCCCAATTAAAACCTAGTAAGGGCCATGGTGTTTTTCAGTCAAATTTGATCAAATCACAATTTTTTTTTTAATCTTATACAAAGATGGTAAAAAAAAAAAATTTGAGAAACAAAATCCAGAACAGTTAATATCAATTAAAGTACACAATTAACACAATCAAAATATTTTCCTTTGTTTTTTCCAGTAACCAATGAAAAATAAGTTTGAAACCACAAATCCACAAAATAACATTGCAGCAACTAACCGAAAGCATTTATCATATATTGTTTTAGATGTTCTAATGAACAAATTACCAAAACTGTGCAATTTCTTCCGTCAATATATCCCAAAACAAATTAGAAATAAAATTAAACCACAAACTTCTTAATAATCACAAGAGCAATTAATATAGTGGATCAAAACTAAAGGTTTTAGAAGTTTTAATCCACAAAATATCATTACAAATGCAAAGAAAGACTGATAGAGAGTTTGAAGGATTATCTGAACAAAAAATATTTTTGAAAGTAGTAAATCTTCAAGTCACATATATAAGTAAAAAATCTGAAGAAAATCAACCAAATCAAACACCATCAACCCCTAACCCAAATCAGAAGTGTGAGAAACCTCATAAAACCATATGAATCGTAAGGAAGGGAGAGTCAGTGTGTTGTACTTGAATAGAGAGTGTTATTGTGTTTTACCCGAAGAAAGAGAATTTGAAGAACCAGATCCACCTTCTCTTTGTGTAAATAATGATCTTTAAGAACCAGATCTACCTTCTCTTAGTTGCAGAGAGGTTGAAGAAAGGGAATATGCGTTGCAGAGAGGCTGAAGAGAGAGAGAATAGATGATGTGCCGCTTGTGTTATAAACGAGATAAGGTTAGTGTCATTTTTTAACTCCCAAAATTGTTCTCCGTGTTTTCAAAAGAGTCTGTTATCATTTCTGAAAATTCTAAAAACATGTTTAAATTGTTTTTTGAAAACTCACACTATGGTAACTAATGAGCGCTGAAAAGTGCGCATTTAAACTCTTTAAGCTCGAGTATTCTAGGACCTTTATCTATCTTATTTTTTCATTTTAGACTAATTTCATATTATTGCCCTTTTCAGGCACTTATCCCCAAAATAAGTCAATTCAGCTGAATTAGAGCATAAAAGACGCAATCTCCAGCTTAATGGAAGAAGGGAGAAAAGTGGAAGTCAAGTAGTGGAAAACAGCACTCTTCGATCGATCATACCAAGCTTCGATCGATCACACAGTGATCGTTCCAACAATACCAAGATGGATCGAGCCTTTTGTCATTTTCCTCACCAAAATACTTTCTTCGATCGATCCAACATTTCTATGATCGATCGAACATCTTTGATCTTATCTCCACCTACCACTTTTGTCTTTTTCCTAAAATATCCCAAAAATATCTCAGATTTGTCTTTATTCAAAAAAGTGCTGATGAGCACTGAAAAGTGCACTTTTAAACCCCTTAAACTTGAGTATTCTAGGACTTTATCTATCTTATTTTTCCGTTTTAAACTAATTTTGTATTATTTTCCTTTTTAGGTCAATAAAGCTAAAATGGGCTAAAAATGGTTTCTTAAGGCCTTTTTGGAGTCAAACTAAGTTTTGGTGAGAATCCAGAGCAAAAGGAGGCTGATTTGGAGCAAAAAGAGGCTGATGCTGAAAAGTTGCCAAGTGAGATCGATCGTGAGATCGATCAGAAAAGTGAGATCAATCAAAGTTGGATCGATCGAACTTTTGCTGAAAGTTGGATTGATCGAACTTTTGCTGAAAGTTGGATCGATCGAAAATCAAAGTTGGATCGATCGAACATTGCTGGCAGTGAGCTGTCTTATTCCGTGCGCGCCCAAAAGTCCACTTATCACATAGTACGGGGATTAGATATTTTTGGGGCTATATTCCTGACTTAGTGACTAAGAAAAGGACCTTCTATATAAAGGGAAGTGACCCATTTGTAAAGAAGTTTTTTATTATTTTACTTTTACATTGTAATTTTAATTTCTCTCTCTAGAAAAGTTAGAGATTAGGGTTAGAAGAAAAGAGGGAAGTGGAGGCACATCTCAAGATCCATCTCTAAACCACACACTCTCTCTATCTCTAGAGCTTCAAAGAAGAAGAAGAAGAAGAGGAAGAAGAAGATGGAGCCATATTTGGAGCTTGATTCCATAACCATATCCACCTCCTTCATAATTGGCTAGATCTACACTTAGGGCTTGAATGAGCCCTAAGTCTTGTGTAATCTAACCCTTGTATTTCTATTTTTGGGGATTTATATATATTGTTGTGATTATTGTTCCAGCCTTTTGAATTTCATGAATCTTGGTATATTTCTATGATTTTTATGGTTTAATTCTTCCTATTAATTCTCTAGTTTATTTACATGTCTATGTGTGATTAAATTATGAATTATTTCTTACATGATTCATATAGATTAATTCTTTCTATTGATTCTCTATTTTAATTACATGTTGTCTTATGTGTGATTATTTGGGGAATTAATCTCTACACTAGTTTTTCTATATTAATTGCATGTCTATGTGTGGTTGATTGAAAATCTAGTGATGGCTAGACATGGGTTTTCATTTAATGGGTTTGTCAATTAATTTGATGGTTTATACTTATGCTTGATGGGTTATTCTACAATTTAATTCATGCTTGTAGATAGGTAAACAATCTATACTTGTTTAGATATTCCATGGCTTATTATTGCAAATTTCATGATTCTCTAGATTGATGAGTGCTACAATTGTTGCTACTTAGATGGGTCATGCTTAAAATTGATGGGTTGTGCTACACTTAGTTTAGGTAGACAATTCATGCATAAATTAGATGGTCCATGCTTAATATTGCAATTGGTAGTCGCATTTTGTTCACAATAATGTATTCCCCATTAATGGAAAGCAAGTGGTTAATTACATGAGCTTAGTGGT